TTATTTACAAGGATGCCCTGGTTTAGTAGGAGTTCGTCCATTGATTGGACGAACTAGTGAAAGCAAAGAGGAAGTTCGTCCTTCCCATGGGCGAACGTGTGAAAGAGAATTTTCCATGCATAAGTTCACCCATCCAATGGGCGAACATGTGAAGGAGTTGGTTTTTTTTTTTGTTTTTTAATTTTTTTATTTTTTGTTAATTATATTTAAGATATATTTAAATAATATAATGTAAAAAATATTTAAATAAATTAATATAAAAACTTTTAAATAATTTAATATTAAAACTATTTATATTATTTAGTATAAAAACTATTTAAATAGTTTAATATAAAAACTATTTTATTAATTTAATTTAAAAACTATTTTTTTAATTTAATATAAAAACTATTTTATTAATTGAATAAATAATTTATAACAACAAAATGACAAGATTAAATTAGAAGATTAAATAATTTACATAGTTCGGTCACGGAATGACCGAACTCAGACTTAATTTTTTTGTATAAATAAGCGTATGCCAATTTACTATCATTTGTATCAAGTCATCCGATTTACAAAGATGTCTGTGCAAGCTCATGTTTTCTATGGACCTGAGAAAAAATTAAGTGTTTACCTAGATCCGCTGTGGAATTTCAGAACCGTAGTCGCAGCAATTAACAGTGGGTTTCGGCAGCTGGGCGGTCGTCGCGTGACGGTGAGAAAAATTGAGTATCGTTGTCCATATATAACGCTTACTGATGCTAGCCCGGAGGGGACGTACATGTACTACCTAGATCGCATAGAAAATGATGAAGATGTCCATTGCATGTTTTCAACACATAGTGGTGAAGTCAACAGAGGAGTCACAGATCCACTTGTGTTGGTCGCTGTTGTTTGTTAGAGTTTATGTTAGCTTCATGAGTTTTATGTTTGCGTTTGTGGATTCACGGATCCACTTTATGTTTGTAGTTCGTTGCTGTTGTTGTAATTTGAAAGTTGTGTTGAATTAAAAATAATTGATTGATCAAATACAAAAGTAGTACAGTATAATTATCTATTCGGTCGGTTTGACGGACCAGCAACATTGGGACATTTTCTACGCATATGACCTATTTCTCTACAAATCCCACACCGTCTCTTCTCTTTTTCTACGTCGTCCATCTCAGTTCGGATTCTACTACTTTTTGGACTCCCTTTTTTATTTCTTCTCATTGAATCATCGTGGCAGAGAGTGAAACCTTCATATTTTGGCCAATTCTCCTCGTGCGGTAGTCCCAGGAAGCTTTCCTTGTAGACCTTGAATACGTTAAGTATTGTGAAGACCTCTGGAATGTGAATTACATAGTCTTGTCGTATGCTAGAACATGCCGCTATCACGTGGGAGCAAGGCAAGTGGAACGTTTGAAATTTTCCACAGTCACACCTACGATTCCTCAAGTCAACGCTGAAAGTACCCTTTGGACGACCATCGTTGTAATTAATCTTTTCTTGCACCATGAAACAGAATCTTTCCCGATCAAATTGCATGACATTGTGTGTGTTAGCCTTGGCTACCTCCTCGGCCATCCCCTTGTTACAACCATCTGTGAAAACTTTGCCTGAAGATAGCATTTTTTTCCATTTGTGTCCTCGTTTACCAAACAGTGAACCCAATCGATAATATGTAGACTGGACTAATGCAGTGATGGGAAGGTTTCTTGTGGCCTTTAATACAGAGTTTATTGCTTCTGCTAAGTTAGATGTCATGTGTCCCCAACGTTGTCCTCCGTCAAATGCTCTAGCCCACTTCTCCCTAGGAATATTGTCTATCCAATTTAAAGCCTCAGCGTTGGATCTTCTGATTTCTCCGCGATAATAATGAAATGAGGCCTCCGTCAATGCGTAACCTGTATCCGTCAATGCGTTAGAAAAAATGAAAAAAAAGTGCTTATATAATTTAGATAATCGAAATTTTTTCCTTACCCATGTTAACTACTAATTTTCGTAGAACCTTGTCCTTAATCTCGCGCATGAAGTTCTGAGTGATGTGTCTTATGCAGTAGACATGCGAAGATGGAGGATTTTGCCAACCGTTTTCTGGATTGTTGTATGCACTTTTTATCGATTCATGCCTATCAGATATGAGACATACATTTGGCTGTGGTGTCACGTGTAATCTTAGGTTCCTCAGAAAAAAACTCCAGGCTTCCTTTGTTTCTCCTTCGACCAAAGCAAATGCCACTGGGAAAATATTTGCGTTGCCATCTTGTGCCACCGCCGTCAATAGAGTTCCTCTGTACTTGCCATACAACCAAGTTCCGTCTACCTGCACAATGGGCTTACAGTAGGCGAAACCATTTATACACGGACGAAATGCCCAAAACAGACGAAGGAAAGTTCTTTTTCCGGAGATCTGGGAACCATCACTTGATATGGCAGGTATGGTTTGCAAATCCATAACGGTTCCGGGAAGAAAGGTTTTCATTACCAGTAGCCACTGCGGTAGGTCGTTGTAAGATGTTTCCCAATTGCCGTAAAGCGACTCTACCGCCTTGCACTTAGCGATCCACGCCTTCCGGTAAGATATAATGTACCCGTATTTTTCTAGAATATGGGCAATGATCACTTTTACCTTAAGTGAGGCGTCGCTGTTTACAAGTTCTCTGATGCTATGGCTAACCATTTCTGAACTGAGCTTGCTATGGTCTTGTGCCATAGACGTTGTGGTGCATGTGTGAGACCCAGACAACTTACCAATCACCCATTTCGAGTTCCTTTGTCTAAATGAAGCTCTGCACTTGAACTTGCATTCTTCTTTCTTACACTTAATGACATATCGTTCATTGTCAGACTTACACACCCAATAGTCCACACAGTGTGTTATGTGCCAATGCTGCAGGGCGAGGATGCAGGCTTCCTTGTTTTCAAACTCCATACCTATATCAATTCCGTCACCTATATGGCTTTGAATAGCATTTCCAAAGACAGAGGTTGTGTTGTCATATTCGGCGCAAATATTTTGCATGTGTGTCGGCGGGTTATACAAACTTACGGGTTGTGCGCTGATCGGTTGCGTAGACGGGACAACTATGTCTTCATCTTCATTGTCTTCGTCATCACTGTTACCAAAAATATCTTGCATTGTGATTTCCTCAAGAATATCGTCATCACTTGGTTCGCCCACCTCCTCATTGGGTATGAAAGGTAAATTATTTTGCGTTGGTTCGTCGTCGGATGTTTGGCTCATCCCGTACCAGTGTGACTGTGTTTCCTGCGTTGGAAATGTTTCGGGATTTTGTACTAGTCGGACATACACCTCAATTGTAGGTAATTGACCAAACATCATGTGGCACCGAAACATTGCCTTCACATCCTCGTTGGTTTTTATTGGCGTCATAATGTAGAATATCGTACAGTCGTTTTCATTTAGGGTGGGATGACGATAAATGATTTCCTCAACACAGCGTGCCAATTTGGTTTCCATTCTATCTTTAAAATGAAAAAAATCTGAATTGACATGAATTTTGAAGGCATATGTATCTGTATTGAAAAACGAGAATCCAATAGAAGTGTTTGTTGAAACAACACCGTTAAAATGGCATGTGGTAATTATGTTTCTCTGAGACATTTCGGATTGTAGGATTGAAGTTTTTTGAGAATGCTGAGAAGTTTAAATTTTTTTGTATTGCAAGATGGAGTGTTAATGAGTTTGAATGTAGGTAGGAATATTGGTATATAAGAGATGTTTGTAATACCATGCAAAGATACATTCAACGAATATAAGTGTGGAAGATTGGAAAATCTAGGTAGAATGAGTTCGTCCAAGACAAAAACGAACATGCTAGGTTGACCGTTGGTTCGTCCAATCCATGGGCGAACTTCCTCACGTGCAATGTACTAGTTCGTCCTTCCCATGGGCGAACATGTGAAGGAAATGCTGAGTTCGTCCTTCCCATGGGCGAACATGTGAAGGGGATGCTTGCTTCGTCCTTTGCATGGGCGAACATGTGAAGTCTGCAACAAAAAACTAGGGTTTCACGTGAAGTGAATGCATGCGTATTGTGTAAGAAGCTAGTGTCAAGCTAGTGTTGCATGCATGGTAGAAAACCCTAGTGCCATGCAATGGTCTTGTCACATTTTAATTTCCAAAATACTTAAAGTAAATATTAAATTTACATACAATCTACTATAAATTTGTTTTTACATTCTACAAAATTTACACACAGTTTTACATTCTCTCTACTATCTAGCAATTATCACATATATTTCTCTACTATCTTGCAATTTTACCCGACTAAAATGGCATTGTTATGGATGGGCGAAGACCACCGTGGTACTCAACAAAATATCAATAATAGTGTAAGTTCTATTGTTTTATATTGTTGTATATTGCTCTTTGTGAATTTATTTTTTCGACATAAAAATCGTGACTAATTAATGTTGGTTTAATATTGTTACAGATTAATGCTCCGAGGTTTAGGGTGCATTCACATTCTCCGGTTCAAGCGAATGCAAGAATAATGCCTTATCTTGAAATCGCAGGATTCGCAAACATTTCAAAAATAAACAGCTTGAAAATTGACTCAAGCTTAGTTCTGGCTCTGTTGGAGAAGTGGAGACCGGAAACGCACACTTTTCACTTGCCAACCGGTGAATGCACCATAACCCTAGAAGATACATGTATGTTACTAGGTCTGCGAGTTGATGGCAAAGCTATCAACGGTCCCACCGAGGTAACAAATTCTGTTAACATGGATTACTTGGGGAAGGAACCAACATAAACAGATAAAATGAAAGGTTTTGTTAAAATAACTTGGATTGAGAGTGAATATGAAAATTTAAAAAACATAGATAGACCCACACAAGAAGATGTTTTATTAGAAGCTAAACTTTTTATTTTGCTCGTGATCGCAACGGTTTTGTTTCCTGACAAAACTCAAAACCTTTTGCATTCATCTTGGGTCCCTTTCGTGGGGGATCTCATTAAATGTGGAACATATAGTTGGGGTTCTGCATGCCTTGCAAACTTGTACAGAGAAATGTGCAAGGCAGCAGAAAAAGATGTTAGGAGCATGAGTGGTTGTGCTCTCCTACTAACATCTTGGGCATTCACACGCATCCCATTGTTCGCTCCTATCAATACTGTGGAACCATCGTTTCCATATGCACAAAGGTATTTTTGTAACACTCATATTTATGTACGTAATATATATATATTTCTTATTCAACTATGTCTAACAATATTAATGTTTTTTTGGGTTACACAAGGTGGACACAAAGGGGAATGAATTACCGTGCAACTCCTCGCTTCCATCTCCAAGGATATCGAAACGTGTTGGATCATATGCAAGAAAAAGATGTAAGTTTTAAACCAATTGAAAATAGTGGTCGGTTCTTCACATTTAAAGTTATCTTAATTTTATTTGTTATGTGACAGTTTATATGGAGGCCGTACATTCAGTACCCGGTGCCGCGTCTAGAAGATAGCCAAATCTGGAGTGCAACAACTTACCTTGTCTGTTTCTACATCATTGAGATGCACCAATCAGATAGGGTAACACTCCAGTTTGGATTTGACCAACAGATCCCTCCACTTCCTAGGTGCTTGAAGGAACATCACGCAATTACCATGCGAAAAGCGCAAAAAGTTCATTGGCAACAGTTACACAAGGACGAGGTGCGAGAATGGAAACACAGAAGAGATGTGATTTTGCAGGGGGGCGCTATATTTGGTGAACGCAAACCAAGTCAAGAGTATCTAACTTGGTTCCGCGCAATTCCTTATGTTCATGTTGCTCCGGATCAATTTCTAACCGACCCACAGACGCAACCATCATCATCGACACAACAAACTCCCGCATCAATGCATCAGCATGTCCCACCAACCCAAACCTCTCAATTTGGGGGGTACCCATCCTCTTCAGCTCAACCTAACTATAACTTCCCCCAGTTCTCCCAACAATATCAGCCCCAACCCTACCTCCGACCACCCAGACAGTTCACCCCATGCACAGCCCCCAACTTTCAGCAGAGCAACCCTTATGTCCAATATCCTACAAATCCTACCTTCAGCACTACCTTCTCTCAACCCGCCTTCACGCCCGATGACGTATACATCCCAACCATGCAACAACCCCAAGCCGATACATACCCACAACCACCACAACCATCACATTCATTTCAACATTTTTTACTGACAGAGGAGCAACTGACGCAAATGCCAGATTTTAACATCGAAGATATTCTAAATGATGATGAATCAGGACCCTCTTCAAGGCAGACAATCCCCCCGAGAACACATCATAATGAAGATTTATCTTCAGACTCCTCTCAATCAGCTGCAAACGAGCGTTTGGGCAGAGGATACCGACAGCGAAGGCCCCCTAGGTGTGGAACTGGAGGTCATCTCCGATGAGATGTGTATTTATTTAATCATTTATATTGTTGTAATTTAATCTTCTAATTTTATTGTTGTAAATTATTTAATCAATTAGTAAAATTGTTTTTAAATTCAATTAATAAAATAGTTTTTAAATTCAATTAATAAAATAGTTTTTAAATTAAATTAATAAAATAGTTTTTATATTAAATTAAAAAAATAGTTTTTAAATTAAATTAATAAAATAGTTTTTATATTAAACTATTTAAATAGTTTTTATACTAAATAATATAAATAGTTTTAATATTAAATTATTTAAAAGCTTTTATATTAATTTATTTAAATATTTTTTACATTATATTATTTAAATATATCTTAAATATAATTAACAAAAAATAAAAAAATTAAAAAACAAAAAAAAAAACAACTCCTTCACATGTTCACCCATTGGATGAGTGAACTTATGCATGGAAAATTCTCTTCACACGTTCGCCCATGGGAAGGACGAACTTCCTCTTTGCTTTCACTAGTTCGTCCAATCAATGGACGAACTCCTACTAAACCAGGGTATCCTTGTAATTAAGTTTTCAGAAAGGGCATTGTGGGATTAAAGTTTTCAAACAAGGGCAGGTACGTGAAAAACTCCGAATCCTTACATTCCATTTCATCATATCAAAGACTTCACGGGCATGACAATTTATGACCTCACACTCTATTTTTGTTACATCAACAACATCGTTTTCTATTCCGTATCAAAAAGCTGCAACACCATGTTCTTCTTTTTAACCCACCCTGAAAAGACAAAATGTCATATAGTAAATAACAAAACTCCTAAAATATAACATCTTACTAGCAAGATTTTTTAATGCATTTGACAATGCGAAAGCTGAAGAAACACATTTTCCTCCACCAGACATATCCTCTCCGAATAATAGTTTATCAAATTTCTCCTTCATCTATTCCATTTATGAATTAAATCCAACCATATGGATAATTAAAGCAAAGCATGTATATGACTTACTCATTTGTTAATTCATTCAATCATGAAAAGATAATAGAAGTCACTCATTAGCTCCTTAATACAGCCTATACAAAATGTAATATACAACAATGAAAATAAAGAAAATCAATTAAAAAGTAAACTTAAGCCTAGATAACAGATCAAATACACATGGTTATGAAGCATAAATAACAATTATATAAATACCCCCATGATTAAAAAATTAATAGACTTGAATCTCATAATCTAACATAAGCTTATAAAAACTTTTAGAACGAGATTTATTTATGACATATATCTCTTGGGTTTTGATTATAACAAAGTATTGAAAAAACAATGGTGTTATCTAATGTGTGTTCCGTATATGCAGGTTCTAAAGCTTAAAGAGAATACATTCAGAATCTGATATAAGGACGCACTTACGAGAAGCCGAGTTACTAGCATTTGGTGGTTCAGAATTTGAAAGACACTCTCTAAGTGATATCTGACATAGACTTTGGAGCTGAATGCCTCAATATCAGAAGATCAACATATTGTCTCTACACTTAGTAAATGTATCAGCTTCTGGTGAACATTCAGTGTTAGTAATAAAGGTAAAGTTATTTGTACTGCAGAAAGCAAGTTCCATTGTCAAATTGGTTTGTCAGCAAGAGTCTATGTTCATAAGGCTCAAGAAAAGTTGACATGCTTTAAGGATATCTACTCTCAACGGATCTACAGTACAAGATTACATGGAAGACGCAATGGTTAAACAAGTTATATAATTGATTAAGATCTTTTGGTGTATATATATCTTCAACGTCTCTTGTACTATGGAGAAACAAAGACACTTGTACAAGTTATTTCTTCCAACGACTAGTCTTCTACAACTACTATATAAATAGCTGAAGATTCAATCTGAATTTTCAACAAGGAAGAAGTAGCAAATACAGAAGGAAAGCCAAGAAAGATAGGAGTGTTTTACACTCCTGTCTAGATGGATGAATAACAAGATCAACAATAAGCAACACAATCGAGTATGCATAAATTCTGTTATATGTTGTAAATTGTACAAAGTCTTAAGATTTCTTAATTATTGAATATCTTAGAAATCTTAAGTGCCTAAGGTCTTTGTTATGGTGATTACCATTTACCTCTGATTTTGTATCAAGTACACCTTGTTCTCTATTCTGCTAAACATGTTGTTTAGTAGTTTAGATAAAGTATCTTGCTATGTTCTTAAGCATCAAAGTCTCTTGTTGAGAAGTTTGAGCTAAATAAGTCTCTGCTATCTGTTAGATCATTGAAAGTCTTGATCAGTTGTTGATTAAGCAAGGAAGTCTTGTACTGTTAGTCTAAGCAGAAGTCTTGTACTTGAGGGTATGAGCAGAAGTCTTGGGTTCGTGGAAACTGGGCAAGAAAGTCTTAGGCTACAAGCAAGGAAGTCCTGAGCTTGAGGGGCTTATGTAGGAAGTCTTGGGTTTGTGAAACTTGAGCTGGAAGTCTTGAACTTGAGGGTCTAAGCAAAGAAGTCTTGGGCCTGAGGGACTTGAGCAAGGAGGTCTTGGGTTCGTGGAACCTGAGCAGGAAGTATTGGACCTTAGGGGTTGAAGCAAGAAGTCTCGGGCTGAGGGTCTGAGTAAAGAAAATTTGTATGTTTAACTACATAAGCAATTATAATCATGATTTGAGTATAGTGGAAAATCTCTTGGACTGCAAGGGAACTGAACTACTCTTAGTTTGGGAGAAATCAAGATAGATTTGTTGTGTTCTTTGTCTATTTATTTACTTCTGGTGATATTCGTTGCACCTGTTATCAGATTCTAAACTTTTATTTAGAATCTAAACTTTGTTAAGAAGTTATAAGGAATTTGGAGAACACAATTCAACTCCTCCTTCTTGTGTATTTTCCTCACCTTCAGGTGGCATCAGAGCCTAGTCTGTGCATAACACTTAACAGTGGTGGAGACAAAGATTTTGTGAGGAAAATATGTTTTCATATTCATAATGAAAAGAAGGGAGTCAAAGATGAATACATCTATTGAAAGCAATTAGTCTCTTTCTCAATGGTGTTATCCTTTTGGAAAAGATAGTTCAAGATCTTATCTTTAGAACAAGGCAAAGAAGTTTTGTCAAAACATGTTGGGAATTAAGAATTAGAAACCCTATTCAGGTAAGCTCTGTTATTTAATTTCAAGTATAATATTTTGTACAAGGTATTCTTATGTTTATGCTTATTTCTGAATGAAGAAACTGAATCAGGTATTTGTCAAATGTTGTCTCAGTCAAAAGCTTGGATAACAAACTCTTGATATGAAATAGAATTATGAAAAATCTCTGTTTCTGAAACTTGTATAGATAAATCTTTGATTTCCACATGCACAAAAGTAGAAAATCTTTTTGACACCTTCCTACTTCTTACACCTGTCTTAAATGTCTTCAACACGCTTGAAATTAATTGTGTTTTGAGTTTGAAGGGAAATGAATTTGTTTTAAGTAGTTTTGTGTTTAAGTCTCTTAATTGTCATTTATTTCTCTCAAAATTTCTCAACACACACAACCTTTATCATTGTTCTTCGTTTGTGTTTTATCAGCAAACCCTAGAAAAATCCTAAAACCTCATCAATGGCATCCTCATCAACCAATCCTTTAAATATTAATTCCATGCAAAAGCTTAAGATCAAACCAAAGATTATTCTTCTCGACAAAGATGAATTAAAGCTTCTCATTGAGCAAGTGGTTGATTTTGATAGTTTGCTGCAAATGGTTGTCCACTGAAGAGTTATTTTGAGTTCCAGGGTTGGATGAACTTCTTTGATATGCTGAATGGACCAACTTATCCAACTTTGGTAAAATATTATGGGTTAGAGTAGAAGTGTATGATGAGTACTCTGCACAAGATGAAGAAAGAAATGTTGTAGAAAAAGATAGAAGTCTGAAAGGAAAATCAAGAGCAGAAATGGGTCTGAAAGAGTTCAAAGGAGTGGAAATAAGATTTGCTGTAATGGGTCTGTAAATCACCGTAACTCAAGAGAACATTGCTTAGCTAATTGGGGCTGAAAATAAAGGAATGGTGATAATCAACAAAGAGAATGGAGGAGATTATGCATGGGATATTAAGATGGCTATCTTTGAAAAGAAAGATGACTATGGAAAGTGAAGAACGTGCATCTCAAGCAAAAGTTATTGTTCAAAATTCTTATCGGTTGTTTAATTCCTCGAGAAGGAAGTTTAGATCAAATTTCATGGGATTATAAGATGTTTCTTTGGTATCTGTCTGCTGATCAACGTTTAAATCTTTCTGGTTACATTTTTCGTCATTTATGTGAATCCACTAAGAAGTTCAAAAGAACAGTTCCTTATGCAATGTTGCTTCCTGAACATTTCTATCAATGCAAATTGATTAACATATTGATGGAATTTGGAGATACACAAGATTTGGACAATGCCTATGGAAGTGTGCTATCGTCATCAGTTATCGCTCACATGAAGGAGAGAAGGAAGATAAATATTGTAATGATTCCAATTCCTATCAGAATCTGGAAGGATAAAAAAAGAGCTTTTCTAGAAGACTATCATTTGCTGATCAAGGAAGATTGTCCTGATGTCATCAAATTTCTTCTGGAAAAAGCTAAGAGGGAATATGGTGTAACTATAACTCGTGACCAACTTCCTGTTAAGTATCCTGATGTTTATGGTCTTAGAGGAAGAAGAAAAAGAAAGGAACTCACCTCTAATGAAGAAGAAGAAGATGAAGAATCAGATACTTCTATGACTACTAAGAAGAAACTATTAGGAATTGCTCAAAAGGAAGTTCAGAAGGAGAAATAAAGGTTTATTCAAAAGACTGAAAAGAAAAAGGATCTATATAGCTCCAAGATGGCCCTGCAACATGAAGTTGAAGAACTAATAGAAACTATTGAGATTCGTCATACCAAAACTAAAAGAGTAGGATCTGACAGTAATTTGGATAAAGAAGTATCTACACCAAAGAAAATGAAGCTGAAGAAGTTGAGTCAGCTGGAAGAAGAAAAGGAAACAAATATTTCTCATGTCG